TGTATGCCCTTGGCATATCTATTTGGCCTCTATCTTTCTGCCGTCTCTGGGCCTGGAAGACGTTATCTGGCACACTGATACTCTTACTAATTATACCCATCAGACTCTTTTTTTTTTTTTTTTTGATTTGGAGTCTCACTCTGTCACCCAGACTGGAGTGCAGTGGCCACTCCCGGCCACTGCAGCCTCGACCTGCTGGGCTCTGGAGATCCTTCCGCCTCAGCCTTCCGAGTAGCTGGAACTACAGGCACGCACTACCAAATCCGGCTAATTTTTTTGATGTATTGTAGAGATGAGGTCTTGCCAAGTTGCCCAGGCAGGTCTCGAACCTGTGGAATCAGGCAATCCACTCACCTGGGCCTCCCAAAGCGCTGGGATTACAGGCTGAGCCACTGAGCCCGGCTTCCCATCAGACTCTTAATGACAATTTCCAAAATATCTCACAAATCAACACTGAAGTGGCCTGTATATGCATTCCTTTTTGCAAAATCACATGGCATTAGACATCTTCACTGCTGCTCAAGGAGGAACTTGTGCCATTATCAAAGCTGAATGTTGTCTGTATCTTTCTGTATATCCTAGACAGTTTGTCTCCCTGACCCTCCAAGATATGAACAAACAAAGCATAATATCATTAGGTCAATGGCTTCTCATCTTGGTTGGGTTGGGACCACCTTGGTGGAAGAAATTGCTCGTAATTTTCACTATGACTGCAGGAACAGGCATACTTCTTTGTTGTGGGTTGTACTATGCTGTACTTTCTGCATGAGGATGCAAGATAGGGTGCCCCAGAGACGTCTGAGGCCAGGTGACTGGTGCTCTAGCTGTTCTAAACCAAGAGCCCACACCCACGTCCCCCTTAGACGAGGCAGTGAGAGATTTTTATAACCTCCAAGGTAGGTAGGGCCAACAGCCATGTTCTGCTAGAAGTAGCTAGAGAGCATGAGACCACCAACCCATATCCCTCAAGAATAAGGAAGTTTAGCTGGGTGTAGTGGTGGATGTCTGTACCTCTAGCTACTTGCAGGATCGCCCGAGCCCAACAGCTCAAGGCTGTGGTAGCCGTGACTGTGCCGTTGTACTCCATCCTGGGCAACAACGTGAGACTCTGACTCAAAACAAAAGTAAGCAAAAAGAATAAAGAGTTTTAGGCTGGGCATGGTGGCCCATGCCTGCAATCCCAGCACTTTGGGAGGCCAAGGTAGAAGGACTGAGCTCAGGAGTTCAAGACCTGCCTGGGCAACACAGTGAAACCTCGTCTTGACAAAAAATAAAATGAGCCGGGTGTGGTGGCATGCCTGAGCCCAGGAGGTTGAGACTGCAGGAAGCTGTGATCATGCTACATGGGGGGCAGAGTGACACCCAACTCAAAAACAAGCAAACAAACAAATGAACAAAAAAAACAAACAAAAACACGAATCAGGAGGTTTAAATCTCTCAGGGAGGATGACATAGTTAGGGACCACCACCATGGGACAAAGGGTTTGGATTCTTATTTATGCATCTCATATAAGTTTATATAAAAGTGAGTATTTGTAGTTCCCGTTTCTTAACTGTCTGCCTTTCTGCTTTTGGTGTTTCATTTCTATCATTTCTGTGCTAAAAGAGCCTGCACCTGCCTGCCCAACTGGTCGCAGCCAGCACCAACACCAGCACAGACCGCTTGGGCTCCAGAGGGTTTCCCCATCACTGCTACTGCCATCACCCATGTCTTTCCCCCTGCCCAGGGGCCTGAGGCCCCGCCACACCCCTGGCCACTGCTGTCACTACCTGCATCTGAGCAGTCACCGGGAGGCCCGAGAATCGCCCCACCTGACCCCACCAACACTGGAACCAGCACACACCACTCCAGGTCTCAAGGACAGGCACTCTCAGCCCCCGACTGCCTCCCTGGTACCCAAAGACTCGCCCACCTAATCCCCAGCAACACTTCTCCACTAATTACCACACCTTAAGCCAAGAAAACCACAGATATTCCTGACACTATTTACAGTCGAAGAAATCACATAGAGACTCCACTACTACCCCACATCAAAGTCCAAGTGCCCTCCCCAACCAACCGGTATATACATATTCATGAAAAAGTCCTCCACGAAAGCAAATTCAAAAAAGTAGAAAAAGCAACTGTTACACAAGATGTGCAGACATCAAGGTAGGAACACAGGAAACAGGAAAAAGCAAGGAAATATGGCACATCCAAAGGAACACAATAATTCTCCAGCAACAGATCCCAAGCAAAAAGCAATTCACAAAATCTCAGATAAAGAAGTCAGTGAAATCTTGGATAAAGTTCATGAAATCTTGGATAAGTCAGTCAGTAAAATCTCAGAGGAGTCAACATACTGATTTTTAAGGAGATCAGAGAGATGCAAGAGAATTTTGAAAAACAAAACAGAGAAATGAGAAAGACTGTTCAGAATACGTGTGAGTTGTTTATCCAATACCTACATATTTTTAAGGAGACCCAGAGAGAAGTTCTGGGGCTAAGGAAATCATTGGACAAAATACAAAGCAGACTAAAAAACATCAATGATGTAGTAGCTCACACAGAAGAAAACATCTCAAAACGTAAAGTAGTTTTCTCAATTCAAAGACTTAGTGGGTTGTATGCTGGCTGTTAATGTGAATGGAACCTCTCAGGTTTATAATGACAATAACAATGCGTTTAGTATTATAATGGGAATGATTTTGTTTGTTTGTTTGTTTTAGTTTTTTGAGTTGGAGTCTTACTCTGTCACCCAGACTGGAGTGCAGTGGCCACTCCTGGCCACTGCAGCCTCAACCTGCTGGGCTCCGGAGATCCTTCTGCTTCAGCCTTCCAAGTAGCTGGAACTACAGGCACGTGCTACCACGCCTGGCTAGTTTTTGATTTACTGTAGAGATGAGGTCTCACCAAGATGCCCAGGCAGGTTTCAAACCCATGGGCTCAGGCAATCCACTCACCTCGGCCTCCCAAAGCGCTGGGATTACAGGCTGAGCCACTGAGCCCGGCTGGGAATGATATTTTGAAAATATCCATCTGCCACATTTTTTATTTCCCTGAACATGATGTTTTGCCCCAGGAAGCTGAGCGTTGAGAATGGACTGGCCTGCTACAGGCTAGCTGTGGCAAAGGGTGACGTGATCCTGCCATATGGAGACACAGAAACCCGAGACTGGTTGGGGGACACAGCCAACTCTCAGTAGTTGGCCTCTGCCCAGTTAGGATGGGGCAGGGTCAGCCTGCAGACTCCTGGCTCTAGAATGTGTGAAAAGCCCATGCCACAAGCCTCATCAGTGTTGGGACTTCCTAGGAGATGGCCAGTAGGGTGGCCAGTGACATCTCTACAGAGCTCAGGAAGGAACCAAAGAGAGGGCTTGCCTTTGGGACAGCTGTCCTACCCCGTCAGGACACACCTTCCAGATGCCCCAATATCTTGGGGAAAAGGTAGGGGAAGCAGATTGTAACTTGGAATTAATTATTTATCCCAGAGACTCAACTAACCTGAAAGCCTTTAAATTGCAAGAGGTGGAGATAGTTGATTCTTACTATTCACAGCAGTTATGTTCCATAAGGTCACCAAGAACACTGAATTAGCAAACACTGAACATTTTTCCTATGGGAAATGTTAGGTTTCTGTTAGCCTCTGTCACAACATTTTCACCAACTGATCAGTATATAACTTTGTTTTATGGTGAAGACACCTCATTTAATATACATGGATTCATTAACACTGAACTCTTGGCCAGCAGCACTGTAACTCACACCTGAAGGAGGCACAACGCACATTCTTTCTCTGTAAGGCACATCACAGCCTGCTTGCTTGTAGGGATGTGAGATAGCTCTTCAGTACTATGCTTGGGTGGGCATTTTAAATAGCAGAATCACCAACAAAAACAAAAATGTGAAAATGACACGAAGGAGGCCATGGGAAGGACATTTGTTTACAGTGTGCAGCTGAAACACGAAGGCAGGAGGTCCACTGTTCAACCTCAGCTGGGAACATGTACACCAGGCAACTCATTTTTGCCACTCCCTGGGTGTCTGCAAATCCCTAAGAAAATGTCACAGTATTGATTTGGGGGTTACTAATACATTTTAGGAAGTCAGCGAATTCTCAAACACAGGATCCACAGATGAGGATTAATAGTGCCTTCATCTGGGACTGCACATTCCTCAGGTCCCCTCGTTGTCTGGGGATAGACGGGTATGAGATTCAAGCCAATTATAGAAAACAAAGAACTTTTTCCTTTTCCTTCTCTTTTTTGCTTGCATAGCCAAGACACAGTACGTAAGTTGGGTTTTTTGCTTGTTTTGAGCTTGGGTCTCGCTCTGCTACCCAGGCTGGAATGCTGCGGCACAATCACGGCTCGCCGTAGACCTGACCTCCTAGGCTCAGGCACTCCTACACCTCAGCCTCTCTAGTAACTGAGCCTACAGGCACGTGCCATCCCCCCGGCTAACTCTGTGCTTTTCTAAGAGACGAGGTCTTGCTGTGTTGCCCCGGCTCGTCCCGAACTCCTGGGCTCAAGCGACCCTCACACCTTAGCCTCCCCGAGTGCTGAGATGATCGGCAGGAGCCACTGCACTTGGCTGGGAGGTATGTTTTTGACTCTACCTCAGTATTACTTAGAAAATAATGGCTCATACCTGTAATCCCGGCACTTTGGGAGGCCAAGGTGAGAGGATTACCTGAGCCCAGGGTTTGAGGCCAGCCTGGGCAACTTGGTGAGACTTCATCTCTACAATAAATCAAAAAATGAGCTGGGTGTGGTGGCGTGTGCCTGTGGTTCCAGCTACTTCGAAGGCTGAGGCGGAAAGATCACCTGAGCCCAGCAGGTCGAGGCTGCGGTGGCCGTGAGCATGCCACTGCGCTCTAACCTGGGCGACAGAGTGAGAGTCCAACCCAAAAAAAGAAAAAGAAAGAAAAAGAAAGAGAAAAATAGAATGGAATCTCCATGAAGGCAAAGATTTTTGTCTGTCTCATTTATGCTATATATAGAAGAGTACCACACACAGAGATGCTCAACCAGTCAATACTTGTTCAAAGAACCAAGGAATGAAAATCATGTTCAAACGAGTAATACACATGGATTAAAGTCCTGTTGTATCATTGTGCTGTGATAGTTTTATAAATGGACATTTGTGAGAAGGGGGAAGAAATCCCTCAATTTTCCAGCTGTTTGAAAAGGTCTAGGGCCAGGAAATCAGGATTCAGTCACAGGATTTTTCTCAACTAAACTGAGGACAGAGAATAGATGGTATGAGTCAACTCCCTGGCTGGTTGGTACCTTCTAGCAGAATGGAAACTTTCTTCTAAAGCTACAGTGAGAAGAACATATCAGTGGCTGAATGAGATTTCCATTGTGCTCTGGGAAAGATGTTCATTTCACTTGGCATGTAGAAGTCCCAAATGAAGGTTGGCTAGGTAATAATTGACATTTCCTCCCTGTCCCTGCTCTCAGACACGGCGTTGATTATGCTTTTTAAATACTTGGTGAATTCCATCCGGATCTCCTCAGGGTCATCCTCAAGATTTGAGTGCACCAGCTTCAGCTTGCTTAAGGGTGGCGCTTAGAAAGGAAAATAAGATTAATTAGGCCTGGAGTTTTAATGAGGGGCCCTTTCTAGCTCCCAATGACCTGAGACTTCTAGAAGCCAATTTGTTTAACTTTCTAAGGTACACAAGTCGGAGTATGTCTTGCTTGACACAACAGAGAAGGGTTTCACCATACTGCCACCTGGCGATAGGAGAAAAACTTTACAACCCACTTTCAGGTCCTCTGTTCTTAAACCAGAAAGGAATAGATTCTTACTCTCATTTTGTATCTGAATATTTTCTGAGTTGTTTTTCAGGATTACTTTGTCACCTCTGTAATGTGTGTGCTATATGCAAACTGGACGTTTTTCTTGAGAAAAAATCAGTCAAGAAAGAGTGTACCCCACAGTACCCATGAATGGCTAAAACCAGGTTTTCCCACTCTGTCTGCCTACTTTTAAAGTGTCTCTGTCCTGGCCTGGATGATGTGACAGTTCTTGAAACTGGCAGTTCTGATTTACATGGTAAGAAAAACAAATGCCTAGGACACAGCAGATGTTCAATAACTGCTTATAGCTGCTGGTTTCAAAGACATATAGCAATATATGGGTGCCTAAAACGCTCCAGACAAAAAAAGAAAGACATTCCAGTCGCCTTACACAAAGACAAGCTTCCTGTATCACCTCCAGTGCCTGGTTTGTGGTGTGCAATTAAGAGACACTGAGAATCCTGTAAGGACTGCTGCTGGACAAAGCAGGAGAACCACATTTCTATATCCTTCCGGTGGCTTGGGATGTCAGCATTGAAGATGATCACCACTCCATGAGCATCCTTCATCAGCGCTGGCCAGCAGGACTCGAACCTGCAAGGCCAAAAAGGAGCCAGAGGGAATGGTAGGTCATTCGGGTTTCTAACTGTGGACTTTAAAAAGAACATCTTAGCCAGGCTTGGTGGCTCTGCCTATAATCCCGCACCTTTGGGAGGCTGAGGTGAGTGGATTGCCTGAGCCCGCGGGTTCGAGACCCGCCTGGGCAGGGAGACCTCATCTCTACAATAAATCAAAAAAATCAGCCAGGCGTGGTAGCGCATGCCTGTAATTCCGGCTACTTGGAAGGCTGAGGCGGAAGGATCGCCGGAGCCCAGCGGGTCGAGGCTGCGGTGGCTGGGAGTGGCCACTGCACTCCAGTCTGGGCGACCGAGTGAGACTCCAACTCAATAAAAAAAAAAAAAGAACATCTTTAGCTGGGCTCAGTGGCTCAGCCTGTAATCCCACGATTTGGGAGGCTGAGGTGAGTGGATTGCCTGAGCCCGCGGGTTCGAGACACGCCTGGGCAGCGAGACCTCATCTCTACAATAAATCAAAAAAAAAATCAGGCAGGCGTGGTAGCGCATGCCTGTAATTCCGGCTACTCGGAAGGCTGAGGCGGAAGGATCGCTGGAGCCCAGCAGGTCGAGGTTGCGGTGACTGGGAGCGGCCACTGCTCTCCAGTCTGGGCAACAGAGTGAGACTCCAACTCAAAAAAATAAAATAAATAAATAAATAAAAAGAACATCTTTGTACACTGATGTTCTTTTGGTTGATGACTTCTAAGTGCATCCCAGACCCATCACTAAAATTTAGAAAGCAATGTATGTCATCAAATAATTTACCAAGCCCTTCGTACAGACAGGTAGACACGTTAGGCCCAACTCCATGGTGCCTGGTGGGCAGCTGATTTTTAAATCACTTAATGGGATTTTAAAATATCATTTCCAAAGGAAACATACTTTGTATCACCACCACAGTCCCAGAGCTCGAATTCACACCCCGTGCCTTTGTTGTTGCTGGTAACATGTGGGTTCTCAAATTCCAGGATCCTAAAATAAAAAGAACAGCAGCACCTGTCATTAGGCAACATTACACGTTTAGAACGCCAGCAGCACCAAAAGTAGGAGGTGGGCAGTGGTCGGTCACTCTTTGGGATATAGATTTGTCAGGGCTCACCTCACTCCTTGGGTTGGATGGTATTCGGTGATGTCAGAAGATTCTGTCAGAAAGTTGGCCAAAACAGTCTTTCCACTCTGTGAAAATGAGAGCAGAAAAGTAAACTACCAAAGAGGCCCCCAAGAGCTGGCCTGTAGCTCACTGTGATAACGCACAGGTCACTGCCAGCCTGAGATTGCAGAACAGACGGCTCTCTCTTCTGGTTGGGACCTCACTGCCTTGTCCTAGTGTGGTGGGCGCAGCCTGATCTGGGACCCAGGGAGCACAGGAGTACAGGGCTATTTCTGCAGCAGTGTGACTACCATACTGATTTCCTGGGCTGCTCTAGCCAACTTAACTAGAGCAGAAAAAATTCATTAGTGTGTATTTCTCTTTGCCTGCTCCTCTCCACACTTTCAAGAACCCCAGTGTGTTACAGACATGACGTCACTGAGGCTCGGAGGGGGGAAAGGAGTTCTTCAAGGTCACGCAAGGATCAAGATCAGGGCTGTGTTACAGATCTGGAGACTTGTGGCTGGCTGTGCTACGATCTCACAGAGAGCTGTTTCTCCTAGATTTTATTTATTTTTTGAGTCGGAGTCTCACTCTGTCACCAGGATGAAGCACAGTAGCATAATCATGGTCATCGCAGTCTTGACCTGTTGAGCTCAGGTGATTCTTCTGCCTCCGCCTTCCCAGTAGCTGGGACTACAGGCACACAGTACACCGGGTTAATTTTTCGATTCATTGTAGAGATGAGGTGCCATCCAGTTGCTCAGCCCGATCTCAAACTCCTAGGCTCAGGCAATTCTCTCACCTCAGCCTCCCAAACTGCTGGGATTACTGGCATGATACAGCTGTGCCCAGCTCGTTTCTCCTAGATTATGTCACCCAGGCTGGACTTGAGCTCTTGGGCTCAAGCGATCCTCCCGCCTCAGCCTCCTGAAGTAGCTGGGACTATGTACCAGAGTGGTGCACACCACAGTGTCCAGCTTTATACATTCCAATTTAAAAATTAAAAAAAAAAAACAGCTCTCCTATCCCTCCACCCAAACCATCCATCCACTTCCTCCCCAAAGCTAACAACTATGGCTTGTTTTTCAGGTTTTTTTCCTCTGTATTTGTATTGTTCATTTACAATATTGCCTGAATATAAAACAAGCTTTTTTTTTCTCTCTCCCCTAAAATTATTCCTCAGAAGAAAGACAATCTCTTACACTTGAGTCTTTATAAAGATCTCTCTAGTCTTTATAAAGATCTCTCTAGTAATGCCTGGCTCTCTCCAGTATTTTAAACAACAGCTGCATGACTAGAACAATCTCAACAATGCCAGTTTGGGAGGCTTGTAGAGATCACTGACAGAACAGAAAAAAGTGAGGGAAGGGTGTTGGGTGCTCAACATTGCTGCAGTAATTTTTTTCCTGAGGATATGGCCTTACAAATAAATAATGCTTAAAGATAACACAGTAAGTGATTATGTCACTGAGATCATGAATGTTTATTTTTAGGATAAATAATAAAGTAAATGGCCTGATCTTATAGGAACAGTTCCTGTGCCTGGAATACATTTCCAGGAACAGTCAGACACAGCGTCAAAAGGTGCTGCTTTCTAAACAACTTAGATGAAAGGTGACGTGTTTTGGAAACTGTGTTAGGTGATTAAAAAAGCGGCTTTAACCAGGCTCGGTGGCTCAGCCTGTAATCCTGCGCCTATTGGGAGGCTGAGGTGAGTGGATTGCC